TTGAAAACCAAAACTCAATTTATAATACAGTTTGGAGTGCTGCTGAGAACTAGGCGGGGAGAAACTAGTACATCCCGCCTGCTCATGAGATTCTGGAAAATTCAAGTATAAGTCTTTAAAATACCTTAAGCGACCCAGAGTGACCAAAGTTTACATTTAAGTCCTGATAGTTTCAAAAAATAGTCATAGAGTATTCTGCCATTGCTCGAATTGCTTCATCTGTATTCGCTGGCAGACAGCCATATATACATTTAACTATCGTATATTCGAAATATTAATTAGGGTGTCAACTTTGAAATTCCCGCTTTCAGAAGAGGTCTTATGAAATCACTTCGACTTATAGAATTATAGTCACTCAGGCCAACGAATGATGGGGACTTATTTATAGATATATATGACCCCAAACGACGAATATCTTAAGGTATACAAGAAAGCATAAAATTCTTAAGAGGGATAATAAACTAGCCTTGTAATCAATAGTGTGAAAGTGATAGAGACACTGTTTTGCACAAAAATAGCTATAAATAGTATAATCGAAGGTATGAAGATCAAGATGGTGTGGCTTTTTGTGTGATCGCAGTCTCCTTTCGTTGTATATAGGTTGTTTGACCTTGTTTTCGCAACTTGGAAGGAAGACTTAGAGGAACGTACCTAGTCCGGAGTCCATTGTCTGCATGATCATTTCCAAAGTTGAACCGTGGATGTAGTACAATTCCAAACGTTTTGCCGGCATCGTAGTCGGCATCGTCAGTGAGTACCGCCATTCTTAGCACTAGAAAACTCGTCAAAGAGAGTTGTGTGGTGCTAAGAATGGCGAGACTTAGTGAAAATGCCGAAGAAACGTCTAGGAATGTACCATATCTACGGTCCTACTCTGGAAATGATCATGCATACAATGGAGTCCGGACTGGGTGTGTTCCTCTGAGTCTTCCTACCAATATACCAAGTCGCGAAAACAAGGTCAAACAACCTCTATAAATAGTAGTGCTCATAAAACGAGTATTCGAATTTTTTATGGGGAGTGAGAATAATCAAATGTGCATACCTCTGTAGTTTGTCGATCGCATTGACCAAGTTCATAACTTCATACTCCTTCTGTTCTTCCGACATATTATCAAGTGGATTGGCTTTTGGAGGTTCCCACCTTCCGGTGACAAGATTTACGCCATTTTTCAGAGCGTGGTAAGCTTCAGTCTCAGAGTCACTGGAAGAACTGCTTGGACTAGACTCAATGTCTGAAGCTACGGCGTACTTGGAGGCCGATGATGAGCCGTCACCTGATGCCACTTGGAGATCAGATTGCCGCTTTCGTCTTCCGTGCTTGTCACCCATCAAGCCGCGCCGAGCCAAAAAGCCGGAAAAGTTTCCGAAACCAGAGTATTTTACACAGCGAGTAACTGAAATGATATTAATTGGCTTAGGACTCTGAGAATAAAACATTTTGCTGAGCATAGTTATTTATTTAAATAGTTCTTTGTAATTTATTGAAAAGCTGCTGAGCTAAGATAGAGCCTAAACATTAAATAGTAACGAAAATCAATGTTTCCCACTAGGA